TCACACCTCGCATCCAAGCGTCGCTGATGTTCACGCTTAATCTAAAAGCACTAGAAAGCATCCAGTGCATAAGGTAATAGGTAGTAGATGCGTAAATCGAAGAAAGACGTGACTGTGACAGGGTGTGCGGAGGTGTGGCCGACGCCTGTCCGTAAATGGCGTCCGCGAGGGAGCGTGGCGGCCAGGCCTAATGGCTGAGGATTCGCTATTGTTCGAAGGCGATGGCTTATGGCTCTTTTTTCTCGGATTATTTAAATGAGCGAGCCTTCACTAGACCTAATTCACGCGCCGCAGGAATGTCATCCTTGACCGTGAAATTATATCTTGTTTTTTTCTTCGTACGGTTTTGTTTAATTTCGTATTATTTTCTTTTTCTACTTCATCTTTTTCTTGTTGTTGTTATTGTTGTTCTTTTTCTTTTTCTTCTTCCTTTTCTTCATCTTCTTCTTCTTCCTCACCCTCTTTGTTTTTTCCTTCTCTTTTCGTTTTTTTACTGCCACTGCCTTTCAGCTACTTCACATTAGTCCAAACAGAAGAGTATTACGATAACTATACCCCATGAAGACCAGAAGGTGTCATCTCAGGCAGTCATTATTATCATCATCATAATCATCTCGAGGCCGTGAGGAGATTGCCTGAGGACGTGCCTGCCGGGGACGGGCCTCCAGCTGGGGCACGGCCGGGGCATCGTTGGGGCACGGCTGAACATGAAGGCAATTATAACTCACTTCAGGGGAGGCGCCTTAAGGTCTAAATTCCCTTCGAACAGAAACTGGTACTTAAAGGGAACTTATCACAATAAGTTACGCTTTATGGTATTCATTTGTTTACAGCTGAGTACCATAGGTTGAAGTGGATGCCTTTTCTTACAAAGAGGAGTTGACGTTATGTTGTTTTATTCTTTCTTTCTTTTTTTTTTCTTTCTTTCTTTTACTAGAAGGAGTTTTAATTCCGCATACAGGTTAAGATTTTTTTTTTGTCAGAATCCGGATTGTTATTTTCACATGGAATTTGATAAAAAAATGTTTTTGCAGGCACGAGATATTGTCACATTCTTGTTCCGAAATTGAGTTTGGCATTAAGTGTGCATGATAACCCCCCCTTTCCCCACTCGCCCACTCTCTTTATCTCACGCACTGACAGGGTTAGATATACAGTTAATGTTGTTAAATCATGATAAGGTTTGCATGTCAGTGTGTTTGTCCATGTCGCGAATGTGTATGTTATCAGTAATCTTTATCTTTACTCGAACAATACTCGCTATCGCATAAACAAAATACTCTTGGGAACCTATCAAGAGCCAGTGTGTAACAACCGTATATGCGACCCTCCCTTTCGTAGCCTCATTGCCTTCGATTTTATCTCAAGAACTTCGGGCTCATTAGATCCCTCTGTGATTCTAATACTTGCAACCAAAGTATAATGATTTTCTCCAAACAGCGAACATAAAAGGATAGTCTAGTGGCATTGTTGTGTTCGGTGAGCAAATGTAACTTTAGGAGTGTGTTCAGGGAAGGGAGTAAAAAGCAGTGGGTTTAGTGTGGGAGGAAACGGATACAATGAAAGTTAGATAAGCACAGTCAAGAGGCTCCTGCTTTGGCTAAGGAACATAATGGGTTTATCTGATATACGATTCGTTAAGACAAAGGAGAAGATTTTTCATTATCAAGTTGTTTCAATAGATCAATAATTTTACTATGGTGCTGTACTTGAAGGGAAAAAATACTATTCATTCTGCCATTTGTCTGGAAGGTAAGCGCTGGCGAGACGCCAGTATTGAGAAGGGCAGGTTGCCTCACTTGACGCATCTCAGCTGGGTTCTTGGTAACTGTTAACTGCAGGAACGGAACAGGTAATCTCCTGATGTCGCAAGTTTGTTGCTTATATAAATTAACTGCAAAACCCATGTGATCCAAACGCAAAATAATCACATGCTGGGAAACTTTTTATCTACAAAAAGGTTTCGTTTTATAAGACGAAGGAATTAATGCAAGTATATTTAACTGACCCCCCCCCCCCCCAAGTTCTGAAAGCGCGTAGGCATTCAGGTATTCAGACGCGACAGAGAAGGTTAGGACGTAGCACGTTCACACGAGAAAATACGAGGGAGGCGAGTGCGGCGAGGAGTGGAGGTGTGGATGAAAGTAGACCTGGAGATTGCTTGGTTGCAACCCAGAGCCTCCTTGCAAGTCCCCTACTGCTTTCTTGCAAAACTCATATGTGCGTGCGTGTTGGCATGTGTGTGTATTCTTGAGTATACACACCCACAAATATATACATACATACATGTGTGTGTGTGTGTGTGTGTGTGTGTGTGTGTGTTTGTGTGTGTGTGCGTGTGTGCGTGTGTGTGTGTTTGTGTGTGTGTGTGTGTGTGTGTGTGTGTGTGTGTGTGTGTGTGTGTGTGTGTGTGTGTGTGTGTGTGTGTGTGTGTGTGTGTGTGTGTGTGTATGTGTGTGCACACATATACAAACACACATACTCACGTACAGTCTGATAT